GGCTGCTCAGTTGCATCCTATCAAACATGGCAAGATTTTTTTTCCATTAGTCACCTTTTGCGAGAAAATTCCATAGTGGAAATTTATTTGTTTAAGTGCTAATAGAGGGATGAAAAGAGTTCCATTTGTAATTGCGAAGAAGTATAAACTTTCATGATGTTTATCCACACATTTACATATTATACAAGTATTTATGGATACTGTTTAAGTGTTTGTTCTAGTTCATATGGTACATCAGTTGTGCAATGAAATATTTGGTTTTAGTATATTTAGTATATATAGTAAAAGGATCTCAGACATCAGGCAGCTTTAAGGAGAACTAGTATTTCATATTTGTCCTCCAGAATTTTACATTTTGTAAAAGACCGCAATTTTATTTGTGGTACAAGAGATCCCCCATTATTTATCATTAAAGGGAACTAGAAAAAATTATGAATAGTAATATACATATCCCATAAAAATGCATTATAGAAGGGTGTAATATTGGCTGGGACCGGAATATCCAGTGGTATGGTCAAGTATATAGGCCATATGTATATTCTTAAAATGATACTAAATGAGAGAGCACTGTTGTGGTGGCATCAGCCTGTTTAAGTGGCTGGAAACTCACATGTACTTTAGTTTTTGTTAGCAGTGTGCACAGACTTTCTCTCTGTCTTGGGCACATGCATTTATGTTCTGGAATTCATGTTCTTATTTGATTTGTATTCTATTCCACTTTGCATCTTTTAAGTTTTGTTTTTTATTTGTTTCTTATATGTTTTTGGACCTGTGTATAAACTCTCGGAATCCTATTGACAAAAGAATTTTTAATATCATTATTAAAGATCTCTTTTACAGTATTATGAAATCTTTATTGATGATTTATTCACAAAATGTCAGTGATGAAAGACTGAAATGGCAAATAACGGGGATCTCCTGTCATGAAAACCCGGATCCTTTTATCTTATTCATTGTGCTAGGTAATCTCAACATTTCTTTAGAAACGAAAGATTGCAGAATACTGTAATAATTGGTTAGCCTACATAACTGTCATGGCATGGTAATTATTGACGTCAGGTGTAAGCAATGTAAGGTCACAGTATTTCAGGCTCCAGTGATGTAGATACAGTTTACCGTGAAGATCTGCATGCTTGAAATTGATACTCGAGTGAATTGCTTTGTTTTGTGTATTTTTGTTTTTTATCTTGTATTTTCTGATTTTCCTTTGGATGTTAGCATGATAGCTTCCATGATTAATAGGATTGTACCCTTGGGCCTTTTTGTATTTTATACTGCTTGTAAGACTAATGTTAATACCTTGAGAAAAGGTTATTCTGTGTCTGTATCAAATAAACATACACATTAATACCCTCACACTAACTCACTCACTCACTCACTCACTCACTCACTCACTCACACACTCACACACTCACACACACTCACACACACACACACACACACACACACACACACACACACACACACACACACACACACACACACACACACACACACACATCTCACACATCTCACACACACATCTCACACACACATCTCACACACACATCTCACACACATATCTCACACACACACACACACACACACACACACACACACACACACACACACACCTATATTTCTCATACACACACACACACACACACACACACACACACACACACACACACACACACACACACACACACACACACACACACACACACACACACACACACACCTATATTTCTCATACACACACACACACACACACACACACACACACACACACACACACACACACACACACACACACACACACACACACACACACACACACACACACACACATACATACACTCACACACACACTGACACACATGCATATTTATATTATAATTTTCAGATTTGCTCTCCTCCAATAAGTGTCCTTTCTTAAAAGGAAGAGGCAATTAATGGCTTTTGCATTAATTTAACTTTACTAACACAAAGAAATATCCTGGTATGACAATAGTTTCACCAAGCCAAAATGCAGTAGTTGAAATGCAGATTGGAGCGAGCAATGGATGCACAGTTTAAACAATACCGCCGTGTGCAAAGGATCTTTAGTTTTGAACAATGCGCATAGTGAACGACAAATTCTGCTTCGATGATTGATGACTAGGCTTCAAAAACTGAGAAGACGGTGAAGCCAGATACGAGGCTCATCTTGTTCGTAGTCAGCTCCCTTGGCTTTATGATGTTTTTTGTTTTGATATTTTTGCTGTATTGCCTAGATCTGAAATCCCAGTTTGGTTTGTAAACGTTTTCCATTGATTACTAACAAATGGGAATTTTTTATGTATGGGTATTAATTAAATGGGATGGTTTTTGTTCTTGATAGATAATACATACTTCAGCAGAATATATCATGCTTTCCAAGTAAAATTCAGAATATTAGAAAAAGCCAATAATTGTGCATCAGTTTTAGTTTGGTCTTCTAGAATTGAGGCAGAATAAACATGTTATTTATTTGAGTTGTTTGTAGAAGCCATAAGTTTTGTACAGGTGTTTCAATAACCAAATATTGGGTCAACAGGAAGTGGCCAGGACGACCCAGCTGTCATCCGTGATATGCTGCTGGCCAACCCTGAGCAGCTGGCCCTCCTACGCCACAATAACCCCAGGCTTGCAGAAGCTCTCACAAGTGGAGACTTAGGTAGGTGAACTAGAGGAGACATTTCCTTATTTAGTTTTGCTGATGAGTTCCAGCCAGTGCTTGGAAAGGAAGCTTCATAATCTACATGTCGCATAATGATTGCAAAGATGTGATTTGGAATTCTTATGTTGTTTTTTGGTCTTGTGGAAGTGGAATAGCTTATTTTATGTAATTGTTTGGCAGACAAGTTTGCTTCTGTGCTCCGTGAACAACAAGAGATGCGAAGAGATCGTGAAAGACAGAGAATTCGATTGCTTACTGCAGATCCTTTTGATATGGAAGCTCAGAGGCTCATTGCAAATGAAATTCAGCAAGAGGTGCGTTTGAGTGTGACCATGTGATCAGGAATACTTTTGTATGTGTGTGTGCCTGCACACATGTATGCGTGCAAGTGTGCGTGCGTGCATGTGTGTGTGCAAGAAACTGTTATGATATGATTTATTTTTGTGCATATGTAAGTACATATATATGTAAGGTAATTTTGTTTTGGACATATTGGTTGATTAGAGTGTTTAACTTTTACTCAGTCTTTAAAAACACAATTACTTTAATGGTCTGCCTCCAACACAGAACATCAATGCCAACATGGAAGCGGCAATGGAGTACAACCCAGAGAGCTTCGGCACCGTCCACATGCTCTACATCAACTGCAAGGTTAATGGGCATGATGTGAAGGCTTTCATTGATTCAGGTTAGTTCTCCCTTTTTGGTTGTTCAGAAAAGGTACACGCACACGCACCCACACACACACACACACATACATACACCTCACACACACTGACACACATGCATATTTATATTATAATTTTCAGATTTGCTCTCCTCCAATAAGTGTCCTTTCTTAAAAGGAAGAGGCAATTAATGGCTTTTGCATTAATTTAACTTTACTAACACAAAGAAATATCCTGGTATGACAATAGTTTCACCAAGCCAAAATGCAGTAGTTGAAATGCAGATTGGAGCGAGCAATGGATGCACAGTTTAAACAATACCGCCGTGTGCAAAGGATCTTTAGTTTTGAACAATGCGCATAGTGAACGACAAATTCTGCTTCGATGATTGATGACTAGGCTTCAAAAACTGAGAAGACGGTGAAGCCAGATACGAGGCTCATCTTGTTCGTAGTCAGCTCCCTTGGCTTTATGATGTTTTTTGTTTTGATATTTTTGCTGTATTGCCTAGATCTGAAATCCCAGTTTGGTTTGTAAACGTTTTCCATTGATTACTAACAAATGGGAATTTTTTATGTATGGGTATTAATTAAATGGGATGGTTTTTGTTCTTGATAGATAATACATACTTCAGCAGAATATATCATGCTTTCCAGTAAAATTCAGAATATTAGAAAAAGCCAATAATTGTGCATCAGTTTTAGTTTGGTCTTCTAGAATTGAGGCAGAATAAACATGTTATTTATTTGAGTTGTTTGTAGAAGCCATAAGTTTTGTACAGGTGTTTCAATAACCAAATATTGGGTCAACAGGAAGTGGCCAGGACGACCCAGCTGTCATCCGTGATATGCTGCTGGCCAACCCTGAGCAGCTGGCCCTCCTACGCCACAATAACCCCAGGCTTGCAGAAGCTCTCACAAGTGGAGACTTAGGTAGGTGAACTAGAGGAGACATTTCCTTATTTAGTTTTGCTGATGAGTTCCAGCCAGTGCTTGGAAAGGAAGCTTCATAATCTACATGTCGCATAATGATTGCAAAGATGTGATTTGGAATTCTTATGTTGTTTTTTGGTCTTGTGGAAGTGGAATAGCTTATTTTATGTAATTGTTTGGCAGACAAGTTTGCTTCTGTGCTCCGTGAACAACAAGAGATGCGAAGAGATCGTGAAAGACAGAGAATTCGATTGCTTACTGCAGATCCTTTTGATATGGAAGCTCAGAGGCTCATTGCAAATGAAATTCAGCAAGAGGTGCGTTTGAGTGTGACCATGTGATCAGGAATACTTTTGTATGTGTGTGTGCTTGCACACATGTATGCGTGCAAGGTGTGCGTGCGTGCATGTGTGTGTGCAAGAAAACTGTTATGATATGATTTATTTTTGTGCATATGTAAGTACATATATATGTAAGGTAATTTTGTTTTGGACATATTGGTTGATTAGAGTGTTTAACTTTTACTCAGTCTTTTAAAAACACAATTACTTTAATGGTCTGCCTCCAACACAGAACATCAATGCCAACATGGAAGCGGCAATGGAGTACAACCCAGAGAGCTTCGGCACCGTCCACATGCTCTACATCAACTGCAAGGTTAATGGGCATGATGTGAAGGCTTTCATTGATTCAGGTTAGTTCTCCCTTTTTGGTTGTTCAGAAAAGGTACACGCACACGCACACGCACACTCATACTCATACTCATACTCATACTCATACTCCTCATACTCATACTCATACTCATACTCATACTCATACTCATACTCATACTCATACTCATACTCATACTCATACTCATACTCATACTCATACTCATACTCATACTCATACTCATACTCATACTCATACTCATACTCATACTCATACTCATACTCATACTCATACTCATACTCTCACACACACACACTCACACACTCACACACACACACACACTCACACACTCACACTCACACACTCACACACTCACACACTCACACACTCACACACTCACACACTCACACACACACACTCACTCACTCACTCACACTCGCACACGCACACGCACACACACACTCACACACACACACACACAACACACACACACACACACACACCACACACACACACACACCACACACACACACACTCACACACTCACACACTCACACACTCACACACACACACTCACACACTCACACACTCACACACTCACACACACACACTCACACACTCACACACTCACACACACACACACACACACACACACACACACACACACACACACACACACACACACACACACACACACACTCACACACTCACACACTCACACACACACACACACACACACACACACACACACACACACACACACACACACACGAATTGGCATTTGAAGTTTGTAATAACTTTGTGTGTTATTCCAAGTTTAATTCTTTGCATTAGGAATTTGATCTTATAGTTCTATTCCATATCAGATACTGTTATATGGGGGCGTTGCATGACGTATTGTGACAATGAAAAATTTACTTTAACCCCTTAAGAACTACATCTCTCCAGCTTGTTTGTCCTGGTTTTCTCTTTCTTTCTTTCTTTCTTTAAGGCAAATTTTGGTTGCAGTCATTTCAAGAGCTCAACTTCACTACATAATATATATTTCTCATATTTCAAAGATTATCAATAGAGTACCAAGTTTGGAAAAGTATGAATGAAAATGAGGACTGATTAATCTGACAAATTCTAGTTTTATCATCTAAAACAATAAGATGTGAATTTAAATGGGAGAGGAAATAATTAAGGGATTGACTGAATAAATTAGGCCCATACAGTACCAGAATTGCTAATTCTCACTTGCAGTGTTCCATTCTCAAGAAGCAGAAGCATGGCCAATGCAAACTTACCAAACGGTACCAGAAATACTATATGTTTCATTCATAAACAAAATATGGAGGGAGGATAAAGTAGATTTTCACATGCTCTCCATGATTGTAGTGAAGAGGACTGATAGCATATTATACAGTTACCCACGATCATGGTGAATAGAACTATAGGGGTTAAAAAGGTACCATACTGGTATTTTATATAATACTATGTCTTGAACACAAATATTTTCCGTGATTCTGCAAAATGTGTTAACTTATGGCCTCCTTCCAGGTGCACAAACCACTATCATGTCTCAGGCATGTGCAGAGAGATGCAACATAATGAGGTTGGTTGACACCAGATGGGCTGGCATAGCAAAAGGTGTTGGAACTCAGAAGATTATTGGCCGAGTCCACATGGGCCAGATACAGATAGAAAATGATTTCCTTGCGTCCTCTTTTAGCATACTGGAAGAACAGCCAATGGACATGCTTTTGGGGCTGGATATGTTAAAAAGACATCAGGTTTGTAAAATAGTATTTTTCAGGTTATGATTGAGAAGCATATTAGCTTTTTTCTTATGTATGTACGTATGTATGTAATTGTGTGTGTGTGTGTGTGTGTGTGTGTGTGTGTGTGTGTGTGTGTGTGTGTGTGCGTGCGTTTATGTGTGTGCGTGTGTGCATACATTTGTGTGTGCGCGCGCGCGCGTGTGTGTGTGTGTGTGTGTGTGTGTGTGTGTGTGTGTGTGTGTGTGTGTGAATGGCCATAGTTGTTCAGCAAGATGAAGTATCTGTTATATGGCAAATATGTTGTATGCACATATATAGACAGACAAATTCATGTATTAATACATACTTGGACATGTACAGAATATATAAAATTCTAAATACGTGGCTGAAAAATCTAGATTATAACCTTTACGTTTCTTTGTTTCTCTCACTTTCAAAAAATAAGATGTGCATTGACTTGAAAAACAACAAACTGCACATTGGGACTACAGGCACAGCCACAACCTTCCTAAGTGAAAGTGAACTGCCAGACTGTGCCCGTCTGACCTCTCTCTCGGAAGAGGAGGCTCGTCGCCAATCAGAAAAGGCTGCCAAAGAGTCAGAGGACCGTGCATTGGCCGAAGCGTTGGCCGCTAGTTCCAAGGAAGGTAACTCGGGTGGAGCAAGTGGTTCTTCTGCATCTGGGGCTACGCAACATGGTGATTATGGGTTGCAAAATACCAAAAGCATGAAAGCTATGAAAAAACTGTTTCTTATCCGCTTTTCTTTGAGAATGATGAAGAAATCATGTTTAAGGTCCAGACGCTTTTTCTGTGTCCGTAGTTTGTATTTGTGATTCTGATGAGGTTTTTGTTTAACCTTCTAGCAGCAGAGCAGCAGCAGTCTTCCAGTCCCCCCAGTGAGGCAGCAGCCCCTGCCACAGCCCCCGCCACAGTTCCAGAAGCTACAGCTCAACAAGACAATTTCTCTGAATCAGATATTCAAGAAATTATGCAAATTGGGTTCACTAGAGTTCAGGCCGTTGAAGAACTTAGACGACAAAATGGAAACAAGACTCAAGCAATAGCTGCGCTCTTTGCAAAGTCATTCAAAATGTAGTTCCTTATTTTTTTAGGGATAAGATACATGTTTAGCAATACTATTTCAAAAGTTATGGTTCTTATTTTGCAATATAATTATAGATGGTCAATATTTCTGGTAAGGGTTTAGAGTTTCTTGGATATTGTGAAGTGAATATAGACATGGCTCGTATTGAGCCTTTTATCAAATGTGTAATATGTTTGAAGACTGAGGTTGACTTCATGTTTAGGGAGGTTAATGCTAGACAAGGAAACCATTAATGGTTTGTTTTTATACCTTAAGATTGGACAAGCTAAAAGGGCCTTTCTGAGTGAGCTTGGATTGCATTATCTTGCCTTTCTGTTGTTTGATTATTGTGGATACCAGTTGGCCGGGATAGAATTGTGTACCTAACTTATTTCTTTATATTATTTTAGTCATTTGTATACTTTGTTACCATGGCTGGTTTTTACAGTGTATCAAAATACTGAAGGAAAATTGCATTTATGTGCATTCTGTAGTTAAGTCTTTGTTTCTGGTTTTAAAGGCCCGATGGATATTCAGTAGAGATAAGGGAGTGTCCTTTGTTTGGCTCTGAACTTGTTGAAATAATTGTTCTAAATCCCTGATACTAAGAACAACATATCAGAGATTGCATTTAAAGAGGGGTTTCTTTAGAGCAAGGAGATTTGCGACTTTCGCTTTTATCTCAAAATTCGATCAAATACTTTTGTGTTTAATGGAAAGATACAAATGTGATTCAGCTTGGCTTTCATCAGGAAAAGTTGTCAGATGAAGTACAAGAGACATAGATATTCCAGTGCTATGTTTGTTACAGGTGACTCAGTTGCAAGGTGCAAGACTTTTAGGAAATTATACATGCTCTAATTTTGTAGTTGAACACATCTCATAACAGTTCAGTTTTATAATGTAGAGCTTAGGAGTTAAATAGTCCCACTGTTAAATAAAACATTTTACATTATCATTTATATGGTGTAGATTATGACAGTACTTTATATTTTACAGTAGGTGTTATGCAAATCAGACAAGTATTTTATACTATACATGAAAAAGAAAATAAAAGTTTTTATCAATTAGTGATGAGTCATTGATGTCTTCATTTTAGCTTGAAATTAGTTCACATGTGACGTGCACACACACAAACACACACATTCACTCACTCACTCACTCACCCTCCCTCCTTATACAAGGCACTGAAACATTAACTAGTAGCTTTTGAAAACAGTCATTACCAAATGTCAGTAAAATACTTATTAAAAAGAAATTAAAATGTACTTCATCAGAAGATTATCAGTTTGTATGGCAATTGGTGTTGTGTATCAGAGAAAGACCCAAGTGCATCAGTTATCAAGTCAAGTCAAGAAAATATCAGGTAACTTCAGGAAGTGGATTTTAAGTACTGGAGGCATCTTACTTTGTATCTACCCAGAAGCCTTACCTTTCTTTTCTGGTTAAGAAGTTGATTGGTCTGAATACAGCAGGTGTGTACTCATCATGGGGTCGAGAGGGCCAGCTCCACCCCTTCCTTATAAGAAATGAAATACCCTAACAGTTCATTTAAAAAAAAAAAAATCCCAGTTAGTTCTGGCTGTCTGACCACACCACCTCATTGCCACATGGAGTAAGGATGTGTGCACTTGACCTCAAGTTGCTTCCCTTTCTAAGTTTCGGTAGTGATTTAGAAATTGTGTTGAGTAATGTTGAATGTGGATTGTAGGTGAAATCAAGGACTGTCTTGTATGAATGAGACGTGTTTGATATATGTTGTAGAGTGCAACAGTCAGCAAACTACTTGTTTAAGTCTGATATTCTCATTTCTCATATCACTGTGCAATAATAGAGTGTTTGTCTGGCAACTGGTGGGCTGGCAATATTGGGATTTAAAATGACATCTACTGCCCTATGCATACAGTCCATTTATGGACCATATATAGAAGACAATTATATAATAAAATGGGATATTTTTAGTTTATACAACCTCTAGGAATCATTGGAAAGTGAAATGGTTCTTGACTTCTACCAGAAAGAGACACATTATTATTTTTTAAACCCTCCTTTCTAGAGTCCTAATGCTTGGAAGCATTCAAACTGATATTCCTCATTTTTAAAATACAGAAATACAGGTCTGATTATAAGCGAGAAACACATTTATTGTAAATGAGAGACAGAAAGACAAAGATTGTATATCAGCCAATCAACTGATTTATCATTGAGAGGTATGGCTTCTGGGCATACATGAAATAAAAGTGTGTAAAGCATTGTGTGATCAAAATATTAGTAAAAATGTCATTCCTGTGATTATAAGATGTTTAACTAAGCACATTAGAGTAATGTACAGACCTAAGAGATCTTTTATTTAATATTTAAATAATACTTGAACTATTTACTACGGAAACACAAGTACAATTGGCATTATTGATGCCAAACGTGGATCTCAATTAGTTGCTGAAAATAAGCATGAATTAGCTCTTGTCACTTGGTATAATATTAACACCTGACCTTGTAAACCAGAGATTCATATTGGTATAGTGACACCAGGCATCTCTGCATAATATATTTTCTTTATGCATCAGTGTTACTTTTGTTATATTAACACCATTTCTTGTTTTTAAAAGTAATGAAACCATTCTCTATCTACAAGAGAAGTATTAGTTGATCTCTACCTTTTTTTTCTTATTTTCTTCCCATCTTTTCCAGACAAACTACCATATCCCATGTTAGTTTGGCTTTCATGGTTTAAGTAGAACCCATAACTGGAGCTTACCCTTACTGCCAAAAGATGATACACTATTGCTCACCAGAATGAAAAGCGTTTACTGAGTTTAACATTTCTCAGGCAAGACATTTCTCCTTGTTTTAAATGTGATAAAGTTTAACTTGAATAGCAGCTTTGTTGGCCTAGGCACATTGAAGAGTTCACAGGATGAGACCGGAAAAGCAGTGAACAAGGACCCTCAAAGGTGTGAGTGTGCATTACCCTCTTGCCCTTCAGGTGGGTAACATGCAGCCAGCTTTCTATTGTGTGGTGGTGTTGGTCCAAAATATTCCTCAGTGGTTAAATGTGACCCCTGCTCCTGGGTGGTTTCCTGTGTTTCTTATAAGATTACTTTCCCTATAGAACATTCTATGTACAAAAGGTTGTCCAACATTGATCTTTATTCTTCATGTAAATATGTCATAGTTTAGAGTTTCTGTAATTCAGGAAAATATTCATAAATATTTTATTAAAATTGTCATATTGCATAATTTTTATAATGATTTTCATTTATTTAGCTTCAAATTATAGTATTTGTAGGAGGAAAATATTTCACATTAACCTGTGCATCAGTTACATGGACTGGATGAAAATTATGACAGAAGTCTGTGATTAAATATGTAAAAGAAAAAAAAAATGTTCTGACAATAATAAATGAAGGAATTGATGTGTGTACAGGTAGAAACATTTGTAAATATACACAGTCCAACAGTAAGTGATTACTTTTCCCAATACAACTACACTAAAATTTTATGTAAACAGTAGAAAAGGATTCAACAGAACTAACATGACATAACGTTACACACACACACACACACACACACACACACACACACACACACACACACACACACACACACACACACACACACACACACACACACGCACGCACGCACGCACGCACGCACGCACACACACACACACACACACACACACACACGCACACACGCACGCACACACACACACACACACCTCCATCTTCCTTCCCCTCTATCTCCCTATCCCACTCTCTCCCATCCTCTCCTCCCTCCCTATCTCTCTTTCTTTCCTCTCTCCCTATCTCCCTTTCTTTCCTCTCTCCCTATCTCCCTTTCTTTCCTCCCTCCCTATCTCCCTTTCTTTATTAACTCTTTGTTTCCCTTCCTCTCCCCCCTCTCTGTCTGCCTTCCTCTCTGTCTTATCTAATTTATTACAGGAAATGTGACTTTCAGTTACACAGCATAAAATAAGAAGCATATTTTGCCACAAGTAAATGAGTAGTCTTGAGAATATATGTACATATATGTACAGCCCATTTTCTTAATTTTATATAAAACACTAGTTTGTAATTACAAAAACTATGTATTGAACTTTGCCTTTGTGACCAGTAACTCTGCCTCTTTAACCCAGTGGTTCCAGGTACATGCACTGTCCGGTGTTGTTTTGTAACATAAATCTTGGCATGTATATGGATTCTGAGGTGCTTGGTCATCAAGGAATCAGTTAGTAAGGCTTATTTGATCTTTCCTGTTTACCCATTCCATGTGTATTGAGTTTTTTTTTTCTATGTTGCTGTTATTATCATCACTTTTGTTGTTAGTAGTAGTAGTAGTAGTTACAATATTGGTAATAGAAATTAAAACCTCTCTTTCTGAAAATTCAAGGAATGGAATGAATAGGTGATGGCAGGTAGTAATTGACTCCTTAGTGACTAAATGCTTCTGGAATCATCTGTGCATATACAAAGCTGGTAAGAAAACCATAGTGGACAGTGTATTTAGTCATCAGTCTATCTAGGCATCAGTGGATTATCTACTGTATTTACCAAGTCTGGCTGTATGGATATACAACTTGAATTTTGAATTTTTATCAGGGATGTGAAGTAAGAAGATATGTGCAATTTTCTTTTGTTTTTCCTCTTATGCTTGCATGTTCTAATGGCCACTGTCATACTCTTGTTGTTTGATTTGCATAATTTACCTTCATTTCTGGCCCTGTATTTAGAGAATATTGAAATTTCAGTGATGTTTTGCTGGAGCATGTAACAAACCCAGATGGTATGACTTGGAGAGAGAAAGAGAAAAAAAAAAATGCCGAAGATGCCCTTCATAGAACCTCATTACCACAGCAAAGCTTTGGGGTCATAGAAGTGTTGGCCCACATAACTCACCCTTGTTCCTTGCCTGGCATATGTTACATGCAGTGGATGTCTTTTCTACACTAGTTTTATATGATGTAATTACGAAAATGGAGAATTACTGAAAGCCTTAACCACTTGGAATTATGAAATATACTGAAACTGTGTAATGATAAGGTATTTTGCAATAAATTTACACAAAACTTTTCATGTTGCATTAATTTAAATCACTGTGTATTATTCAAAGCAAGATATAAACACATTTTTACAGATGAAATAAAATCAAATGATATACAAATGCCATTCAGATAATCCTTGCCATATCATTTTGCCAAGACATTTTTGCGAGTAGTAAAGATTCAGTGTAATATAATCCGCAGAAAACTCCAAATTTTTGCTTCGCTTTGATTCCCTGTGGCAGCTGTTTTGATGTGCTGTATTTTGCCAATCGTCTGTTGAGGCTTTCTTTGCTGCCTGCTCTAGGGTTATGCTATATTCCCTGAATCAATTGGTTCCTTTATGATGATTGATTTTTCTCGCTGGTCTGTCCTTTTTCATAGTATCAGATATTCCTTGCAGCAGATAGGGATGAGCATTATAACTTTATAAATTACTTTTTTTTTAGGATAAGGTAATATGTATGTATGAGGAGTATATTTCGGTGAACATATATACACAAAATATACATATGTGGATGCTTACCTGGTGTGTAAGTGATAATACCAAGGTTATACTTTACAAAATATGTTTTATATGCACATAGATTAAACTCCTTGCTTCTATACAGAATATGAAATGGATGAGTCTAGAATTTGACATTTTGAATAAAACTCCTTTATTACACAAATTTGACCAAAAAAATGCAATTGCATTTTCTTGTTATATTCTTACATGAATGATTCAGGATATAACAAATATATCTAAGTATAGTTCCTTTACTCTAATATATTAACATATTCACACTAAGTTATGTATGGTTGTTATTCTAATATGAAAAAAAACACTGCCATATAGAAAATATAGTTAGTCTTGGAATTTAAAAACAGGAGAGTGATGATGACACAAGTCCGTGTTTAATGTCAAGGAAATAAAGCAGTCAACATACATTTGGGATTAATTATTGAGACCACACACTGTAAGGTCATTAATGTTTTTCAGTGTGCATGAATGTGCTTGAGAGAATGATGTCTGAACTTTCTAGGGAATTGGTTCCATAATTGTCTCTGGAATTGTCTCTTCTTTTCTTCTTTTCTTCTTCTTCTTCTTCTTCTTTTTCTTCTTCTTTTCTTCTTCTTTTTCTTCTTCTTTTCTTCTTCTTCTTTTCTTCTTCTTCTTTTCTTCTTCTTCTTCTTTTCTTCTTCTTCTTTTCTTCTTCTTCTTCTTTTCTTCATCTTCTTCTTCTTCTTCTTCTTTTCTTCTTCTTCTTTTCTTCTTCTTCTTCTTCTTCTTCTTCTTCTTCTTTTCTTCTTCTTCTTTTCTTCTTCTTCTTCTTTTCTTCTTCTTTTTTTCTTCTTTTCTTCTTCTTCTTCTTTTCTTCTTCTTTTCCTCGTCTTCTTCTTCTTCTTCTTCTTCTTCTTCTTCTTCTTCTTCTTCTTCTTACCTACTTGAGGATTCAAGAATTCCTTAGAAACAAAATTTGACAAAACAAGAAACCTACAGGACGTGTTACCCCTAATCTGAGGTTTGGCATTTACGCTGACATCTTGCCGCGGTTTTCCATTTCCGGAAGTGAGCTCATTCTTTTTCGTTCTCGATGAATGCACGCAGCCACACATGCACACATATTCATAATAAATCTTTGCACGCCCATCAGGGAAACATGCAAACGCATACGCACATGTACACGCACGCAGGAACACACACACACACACACACACACACACACACACACACACACCACACACACACACACACACACACACACACACACACTCTCTCTCTCTCTCTCTCTCTCTCTCTCTCTCTCTCTCTCTCTCTCTCTCTCTCCTCTCTCTCTCTCTCTCTCTCTCTCTCTCTCTCTCTCACATATCTCACGATTAGTTGCTACAACTTTGAAACGTATTTTCATTTCCTGGCATTACGAAGGAACATGAAATATGTTACTGAAGTCTTGACCACCACATAAGGTCCATAATCACATTCATTTAAAGACAACTTATACCCTAAAGCATTTTTTTTATATATATAATTCATGCTTAAATAGATTTTGCGTGACAGTCTTCTAATGCTTTCATCTTTGTTTGCTAATTTCCTGTATTAATAAAATGAAATTTCTTTTTGTGGTCAGATTGTTCGTAAAGTCAATATTTTCAGTCGATTCTCTAAAAGCAACGTTTATCAACTTTAAATCAAATC